AGTATCCGGATTAATACTTAGATTTTATTCATTCCATAAGCCGGACACCTCTTGACCGGTTTATCTCTAATCCGGATAAGCTTTGAGCGGTTTAGCATATGAACGGTTTTTGACCTTTGACTATAAATAACCGTCTCATTTTTCATTTTTACTTTTTACATTCCTACACTGTTCATCATCGTCTCTGCTCAAGTTCTCCGCTCAAATCTGGTTATTAGATACAGTCTCTCAATCTCGTCTACTGTTCATCACATCTATTCAAGGTTTCGAATCGATCATTTGATTTCTTTCGTTATTCGTTGATTGTTTCGATTCTTATTGATATTATGGACTGATTTGACTTAAAATGAACATAACCTTCATAATCGATCCTGTAACTCTAAATAACTCAGTTTAGACATTGTATTTTGGTGTATTTTTATGTATTTTTAGATTACGAGTGAGTACGTATTGTGTATTTTGAGTATTTTTTGTTTATTTTGCATATTTTGTCATTGTATTCCTGTCGTGTTTTGAACGGATATCTCACCGGACAAGGTGATCGGACTTTAATCCGATCAATTTTTAAACCGGTTGATGTTTGTCCGGTTTAAGACTTAGTCTTTGTGTGTGATTGTGTCTTGTTGTCCGGACTTCTAATCCGGACACAATTATTTTTGGTCTCAAGTGTGTTGTGTGTTGACCGGACTACTAATCCGGTCAATCCGTTTTTAAATTTTTTTTTTCGAAGTGTTTTTATTTTTTTTATTTTTTATTTTTTTTAGTTTAAATTTTTTTTCTAGTAAATTTTTTTTTAATTTTCATTTTTTTGAATTTTTGTGTGTGTGTGTGAATTTTTTTAAAAAAAATTCAATTTTACTGAATAAAATGGGTACTAATATTTCAGATTTTTTTACAGGTAAATGGCGGATCCTAGACATCAGTCTGACGAGGAATCTCATGTTCCCTCTGTCAGATCTGACAATATACCAGCCCATTTACCTAACCAACCTATTGCCTCTGAAAATCTTTTTCCTCAGTTCCAATATCTTGAAATTAAACTGAATAACCATAACTTCTCTTTCGATATGCCAGCCGAATACCCTATCATACCAGAAATCCTGAAAGGCCACCCCATTTCATATGCTTTATCTGCCAACACACTAGTTCCTATGGTGTACCTGCAATAGTTTTGGGGTACTCTTACAATTGAAAAGGACGGAGATGCTTTATATCTTCAAGGAGAGGTCGATGAATATGTCAGTCGCCTGACATTAAAAAGATTAAGAAGAATACTTCGTCTTCCTGCTCCTGGACCGACTGGGTTTGAAAATTTCGTCTCAGATGAACAATTATGCCTTGATGTTAAAAGATTAGGATATTCTGCGACATTGAATAATCCTACTCAATTTAAGAGACGATTTCTACCATCAGTATGGCATCTACTTTTCTCGATACTAAATCGGTGCCTTACATCAAAAACCCAAGGAATTGATATCTGTAGCAGCACATTCTTAAATTTTTTTCATGGCATAGTGTTTTCACGACAATATGACTATGCACTTGTGATATGGAATGAATTACTTGA